TCATAGCTTCTTACTGCTAAAAAAGTAAATGAAAATATATTAATTTATGGTCAAACTTTATTTTGATGATCCGTTTGTTAAATTTAAGGTACATTCCATCAACAAGCCATCTATTTATCTATAGATATATATATATACATCTGTATGTATATAGATATATATATATATATATATATATATATATATATATATATATATATATATATATATGTATATATGTATGTATGTATGTGTATATATTATTATTTACTTATTTATATAATTTTTTTTTATTATTTATTAGGCATTCTATGAAGAAAGAAATCTTCAAAAGCAAAATAAGGTAAATTATTTTTTCAGCAACAAAGAGTGTTGAAAATCCAGCTACTTCCTGGGAAAATATAACCAAATACTGCATCTATTGGAAAAATTTTATTTGTCTATGAAACATATTGCGATACCTAGTATAATTTCACCAGATTACTGGAATGGCTCTATTTGCAAAGAATGTATTATTTTATTATATCATCAGGAGGATTTTGTGGGGCAGTGCATCCGAATAAACACAATAAATCAATCGTGATCATTGATACAGTAGAGATCCGTCTTTCGGATGAGACGTTAAACTGAGGTCCTGACTCTCTGTGGTCATTAAAAATCCCATGGCACTTCTCGTGAAAGAGCAGGGGTGTAACCCTGGTGTCCAGGCCAAAGTCCCTCTATCAGCCCATACGATCATGGCCTCACAATCATCCCCTTCCACCGAATTGGCTTCATCACTGTCTCTCCACTCCACCAATAGTTGGTGTGTGGTGAGCGCACTGGCGCCGTTGTCCTGTGGCAGCCGTCGCATCATCCAAGTGGATGCTCCACACTGGTGGTGGTGTGGAGAGACCCCCTCATGATTGTGAAGCGCTTTGGGTGTATGGCCATACACAATAAATGTGCTATATAAATACACATTACATTTACATTACATTACAGAAAAGATACAACATACAGTGCTTTTGTAGACCATTTCAATGTGGTCCTGTCATCGGCCCATGAACATTTCCCGCTTGTTATTAAACTATTTCATAACTGTAACAAGAGGCAATTCAATCATCACTTTAATTTTAGTCCCTTATTTATCAGGGGGATAACATGCAAACTCCACACAGAAACGGCAACTGGTCCAGCAGAGACTCGAACCAGTGACCTTCTTGCTGTGAGGTGACTGGGCCGCCAACAAAATACTAAATCAACAAAATATAATGAACTACTATCAAGTGCAACACATAACACATATCACATAAGAAAAGTGTGGCTCACGCATAAATAGAACATTTCCTCGTCATTTGCACACACTCAAGTGGTTCTAAACCTTTATGAATTACTTTCTTCGAAGGAGATTTTCTGAAGAATTTAGTGAGGGGAAAAAGCACTCATTTTTTTTACAACATTTCTTAGTATATCTTCAGAAAACAGACACTCTGACAGCTTTGAAACAGGTAAATGATGACAGAATAAATTTTTGGGAGAACTATAAAATTAAATTTTCAGAGAAAGCCATGCAGACAAACTTGCATACTGGTCTCGTTTTTGGTTACTATATTTATTATCTGCTTTCTATTGCAACATCAGCGTGACCTTGAGCTACTGCTGACCTTTGAGATGGTGCGCAGTGGTTTGGGCCGTGCAGGGGTGGAGGTAGAGAGGGGTGAAGCATGATCATGTGGTTTGAACAGGCCGCTCTGAAACTCAATGAGACTGACTTTTCCATCCTGATCCTTGTCCAGTTTCCTGAAGAGAGCGTCTAACTCCTGCTTAAACACAAAGACGTAGAGTGATTTTATCAATACTGACAAAATATCACTGTAAACCAGGAATTCTCAAAGTTCAAACTCTGGACCCTCCTCCATTTCATATTTCAGGAACGCTAATTGTGTGTAACAATGTGTGGATTTATTACTTTGTGATCATTCGCAATGGTCACATGGATATGCAGTGAGTCTGGATTAAAACATTATTGGGGCCTGTGACTGTATAATGATTTTAAAAACATTCAAGCATAAGAATTGGTACTGTCTGTAACTTTATTGACAATTAATTTGACAGATTCTTATTTTTATTCAGTTACTGTAGCTGAATACTTGGTAAACAAAACAATTGTGTTTTTATTAATAGTTTATTTCAATTCTATCTTTTTCTTTGAGTTTATTTATAAACTGATTTCGAGAAGAAGACATGCTTATGATTGCTTGCATTGCTTGCAATTCATTATTATGATTCATCAACCAGACGATTACTAAGTCACTGTAAATACCCTAAAGCCCAGGTCAGATTACACGATTTAGGCATGATTTTCTGGACGTAGGGTGTCGCAGGGAATCGTAAACGACAAATGGGCGTCGTGACTAGTGTTGGCCGATATATTAAATTTTTAGATCGCCAAATCGTCCCCCTGTGAGATCGCCGATACACGATACTATCGCATGGGGGCGCGGTAGTGTTACGTTTATGTATATAATATTTGATTGTTATATTTAAACATATCTAAAGATATTTAATAACCTTTCGTTTCGTTTTCGGTTCATGCCGGTCTCCGCGGCCCGCAGGACTGTTGCAAAATGGATATAATATACATAAATGAAAGCAAATGAAATGATATTTATTTAGGCACGGAAGAAACAAGGATGCTCTAAGATTCTTTCAGACGGGAGGCGGATGGAGGACCCGCCGCCTGCACGTGAAAATGTTTTCCATGTTTTTGTTCAGTTGAGCGCAGCGCGGCTTCAGGTCTAATCATCACAAAAGTAATCAACAGTGTCACGTTTGCATTTGCTAAGATCTAACACAATTATTACGCTTGGCATAGGCTGTGTTAACTGTTTTCTGATAAGTTTCATTTTAGACATGGCTGCGGTGAGTCGGTAATATAATATTGCTCTAATATTAAATAGCCTATTTGACCTAAAACTTTTCACTGAGTTCAGTAAAATGTTCTTTGATAAGTTATTAATAATCTGTTTAATAATTCTTTAATGCCAAAACGAATGGTAAAATACATATTGTAATTTAATTTAAAATAGGCTAGTTTAAATAAAGAAATATATTTTATTAGCCTTTATAAATAAATATAGGCCTAACATATTTTTAAATTAAATAAATAGGTTATTTTCTGAAAAAGGCGCATATCCGTGTTTATCATTTTATCGAAATAAACACAAATAAGACAAGTAGCTATGTATATTCTGTGTATTTGAAGGAGCAGTCAGTGCATGCACAAAAAAATATACTCTATAGCCCCCTTAAAACTTAATTAGGCTATTAATAACGCATATAAAAGATAAATAGCTTTTTTTGTTAAAGCAAGAGAGAATCTTGCGGGAGTGCTGTTATAAAGGAGTCTCAAATGATCAATGACCGCAACACGTCTAGCCTACCTTTTCTAAAATATTAAGCTCTTTACAAGTCGCAATCAAAAATGACGATAATATGGTGTATTGGAGGGTATAAGCACGCAACCCGTGAGAACCGGTTAATGCATGTACGGTAGCCTACACCACTTATTTATCAGACGGCTTTGAGTATTACCCACCTCTAAATCCCCTCTGATACGTGTCTTTTAGCCGCGTCCTGCAGTACCCAAAACCATGACAGTCCACCATATCCAGTCAATAACACTCATCGTAGACGTCATAGGATGACTAATTGTGAAGGAACGTGTAGTCTGGCATATTTGCTCTCTACGACAAGTGACGATTTTATCAAAAAAAAAAAAAATCACATAATCTAACATAGTGACTTTCGTAACCGACAAAAAAATCTTTTAAAAAATCCCCCTTTTCACCCCTACTCCTCCTGCTTTCCTAGATGGGTGATACAGTGGCCCAGTGGTTAGCACCGTTGCCTCACAGCAAGAACGTCACTGGTTCTAGTCCTTAGCAAGCCAGCCGACATTTCTGTAAGGAGTTTACACGTTCTGCCCGTGCACAAGTAGGTTTACCCTGAGTTTCCCGGTTTCCTCCCACGGTCCAAAAACATGCAACTTAAGTTAATTGACTAATCCAAATCAACACCGTAGACATGCTCCTAGAAAGTAGTTATCTCTTAAGAGCAATCACTATCTGTTCATTAGCCACTACAGCAGGGGAGTTCTCGAGATCTACCTGAGCTCAAACCCTTCTCTCGCCAAACAGGAGGGAGCCCCTGGCTTGATGATCTGAGCTCAGGGCTCTCTTCCGGGACAGCATGCCAAACAAGCTTTTTAATCAATCATCAGCTAAGTGTGAACTCTTGAAACTATATTTATCTATGCTTGTAGATTGTTTGTTAGATTTTATACAGATGCACTCCCCAACAGAATCATTCCAATCAATCTAAAATTATGAATTATTTCCAAATAGACATATTGAAGTCATCTGGTGAAACTGTATTCAGATCGCAACATGTATAGCAGAAAAACAAAATATTGCAATGATATATTTTTTCAACAGCATGCAGCTCTAATGTTAATGTTTATTAATATAAAGTTTTGTTATAGCAAAAAATAAATAAATAAAAATTTCGGACCTTTGACATTTCTGAATATTCAAACCATTGAAGTGAGATGGGTGAGGCAGTGGGGGCAGTAGGTAGTGCTGTCGCCTTACAGCAAGAAGGTCGCTGGGTCGCTGGTTCGAACCTCGGCTCAGTTGGCGTTTCTGTGTGGAGTTTGCATGTTCTCCCTGTCTTCGCGTGGGTTTCCTCCGGGTGCTCCGGTTTCCCCCACAGTCCAAAGACATGCGATAAAGGTGAATTGGGTAGGCTAAATTGTCCATAGTGTATAAGTGTGTGTGTGAATGTGTGTGTGGATGTTTCTCAGAGATGGGTTGTGGGTGGAAGGGCATCCGCTGTGTAAAAACTTGCTGGATAAGTTGGCGGTTCATTCCGCTGTGGCGACCTCGGATTAATAAAGGGACTAAGCCGACAAGAAAATGAATGAATGAATGAATGAATTGAGACTTTGAGAATTCCTGCTGTAAAAAGTAATCAGTAAACATACATGCAGCATGTGATGATTATGAATCCTCCATAATTTAGGTGATAGTAGTACCTCAGCCTCTAAATGCTTAAGTCCGATGTGATCACAGACGAGTGAAAGCTCCTCACGGTTTAGTGATCCGGCAGCTCCGACCCCCAGATCTTCCCAAACTGCCCTCACCTGCCCGTCTGTCACTTCCTGCTGATTGTCAGATGAGCGTTGACAATTTCCTGTGCCATCTTGATTCCAGAGCTTCAGCTGGCCTTAAATGTATATAATTCAGAATTTGTGCAAATTTACTTATAAACAATGCAAAAAAAAAAATAAATAACAAAGCTGCACTGAAAAAAATAGGTTCCCCACAATTGATTTGTGTTGGGGTAACATGAAGGAATTAGGCTAACTAATTACTTTTTACAAATATAAATGAACTGAACATAAAACAAATAAGTAACAAAAAAACAAGAATTGTGTTATTTCAGCTCATTTTAAATAAGTAGTTTGAACAAACAGCAACTGACAATGTTTTGAGTGTGCAGAGTATAGTCAAATTGAACATACCTTGTGCCACAAAATAGTGGTGTGTGGACTCTTTGTTGCTTCCTGTGTCTTCATCTGATTTGAGACTCTGTAAACAGAGCATTGACAGTGTTTACTGAAAACTACCTACTGAATGCTGCATAGAATGTGTATTGTATATTGCCTACTCAATTGTAAACAGTTTTTTCCCCCCCCAATTTCTGTTTAACGCAGAGAATATTTTTTTCAACATATTTCTAAACACAATAGTTTTAATAACTCATTTCTAATTACTGATTTATTTTATATTTGCCATGATGACAGTTAATAGTATTTTACTAGATATTTTTCAAGACGTTTCTACAGTTTGAAGCAGGGGTCACCAACCTTTTGGAAACTGAGAGCTACTTCTTGGGTATCGTTTAATGTGAAGGGCTACCAGTTTGATACACACTTCCTAATTACAAATTTGCTCAATTTTCTTTTAATTATATGTTATTAATAATTAATTATATTCATCTATGTGAAGGCACTGATCATGTTAATGATTTCTCACAATAGTTGTCAACAATGATTGGAAACAGATAAATATCAACCAATGCAAGTGTGATTTAAAAAGAATAGCTACAAAACAAATTAGATGCAGCTTACTGGTATGTGGTGCTATGGTAAGCTAATTTTATAACAGGTCCACGGGCAACTCATGTGATCCTCGCGAGGTTAGAGTAATTAGGCAAGTTATTGTGTAACGATTTTTGTTTTGTCAAGCCTGCAACCCAGAGTTTGTTCAACACATTGTGTGCAAAGTATACACAGTAAATTTTAAACATTTTCTGTATTTTGTATTTCACAAGTGTATCCTGTTTATTCACAGTTGTAAATTGCATTTTGGGAACTAGATCTCTGCTCTGTGGACTTGATTTGAAAATTTAGCTCTGCAGTTTAATAAAGTGACTTTTATTGACATTTTAGAACTTTGAATTAATATATATGTAAGCGCCATCAATCCGTCTCTTCTTTTCTTTCTCTCTTTGAATTAGCAGGATTTGAACGCGAGTAACATAACACAGTCCAGTGATGTTGTTTCGAAAATGTTTAATAACAACTTAACTGAACTATATTACACGGTCAAAAAAGAGAGGTCTTGCTTCCATCTTCATGACACAACTTCTTCCTTCCCGGAAGTGACATCAGCATATACTCTATATTACAAATTAAATTACTTTTAGTAAAATATTTTAAAGTTTTGCCTGTCACAATATAATTAATTTAACATAAATAAAACAATAAACTTATATATATATGTGTGTGTGTGTGTGTGTGTGTTTATGTATATATATATATATATATATATATATATATATATATATATATATATATATATATATATACACACACACATACATACATACATACATACATACATACATACATATATATATATATATATATATATATATATATATATATATATATATATATATATATATATATATATATATATATATATATATATATATATATATATATATATATATATATATATATATATATATATATATATATATATATATATATATATATATATATATATATATATATATATATATCAGGGCTCGAAACTGCGACCATTTTGGTCGCATATGCGCCCGAAAATTAATCTATGCGACCTCATAATATATTTGGGCGCATTAGTGCGACTGCAGATACTAGTTGTAGTGCGACCTGTTTTGATTTTTTGTAAAAACGTGCTGAATCGCTCTTCCCTGCCGCTATATTGGTTCATATTAGCTGTCATTCCAACAAGGTGTTCCGCTGTCAGATGACAGGGAAGGAGCTGTTATCACCACTGGAAATGCAAACGGCTGAAGAGTAAAAACTTAAAGCACACAGGTTTGCAAACCCCACCTAAAGTTTAGACGCAGATGAAAGCGATCATGACACGTCACGTGGCGAATAATGATCCGCCAGCTGAGATCAATCGAGTATGCGCTTCTTTGAGAAGGTGCCCGAATCTCCATGCGTTGCATCCACTGCGTGTTCAGCGCAAATGTCCGCTAAAAGTCAAATCTAATACTGTATATATAATCGCCAAAGAAGCTCG